TCGTTATAAGTGGGGTTAGGGTTTAGGGTTTAGGGTTTAGGGTTTAGGGTTTAGGGTTTAAGGTTTAGGGTTTAGGGTTTATGGGCAGTTATAAGTGGGGTTATAAGTAGGGTAACTAAGCTTATAACCATTAGATCCCCAAGAATCCTGGTGTATGAGGCTTAGGGGTTTGCGGGTTTGGGGCTTGCTGGCTAAACCCTAAACCCTAAACCCTAAACCCTAAACCTTAAGCCCTAAACCCTCTAAACCCTAAGCCCTAAACCCTAAACCCCTAAAACCCTAAACCCTAAACCCTGTTCAGGGCTTACTCGGCTGAGGGTTGACATCCGAGCTATAGGTACAGTACTTCCTTCTTGGCTGTGGGTTCCCCCATACTGCACCTCGTTGCTTAGGGTTTAGGGTTTAGGGGTTTAGGGTTTAGCTAAGTCTGGTAATCCTTCGATGCCGACCATGGACAAGAAACAAAAAGCATCCAGAGAAGCCCACGCCGCATGATAGCAGGTTCCCTGCAACCCGAAAGAGCCTTTGAAACCTATGATAAACCGTGAGCCCAATACCCCTCATGCTCAACCCAAAATACAAGAGACCTAAACCCTAAACCCTAAACCCCTAAACCCCTCAAATATTCGCTCCAAGCCACGCACTCCAGGTCCAGGAGTGCGCAGGCTGCAGCGGTGGCCACGCCATGCTGTCCAGCGCCAGTCTCAGCCTTACCCCAAGGCTCCATGTACCTTTATAGTAGGTACGTTACTTAGGCCTTAAAGGGGTCCCTATATAGGTACTTTATGGCCTAAGTATCTACTATAAAGGTACATGGAGCCTTAGGGTTATCTAGGGTCCTTTAAAGGGGCTTTCAAGCTTTTAGTGGTTAGGGTTTAGGGATTCATTGTTGGTTCCCTATAAGGGTTGTATACAGTTTAGGGTTTAAAGGGTTCCTTCACTAACGGTTTGATGTAATGTAGGCGTCTTCTATTGTTCCTCAGTGCTTTCTAGCTTAGCAAGATCTGTTAGGTTTTGCTGGGGCTTTAGAAGGCAATTTATGAGGTCGGTGCTGCTCAAGTTTCTTCGGCTTTTGAAGCCCTAAACCCTAAACTCCTAAACCCCTAAACCCTAAACCCCTAAACCCTAAACCCTAAACCGTGGCTCTGAGTTAAGGCATGATGTGCAGCTTTTCGGCTGGTGGCACCGGATTGTCGCGACGCAGGACACCGAGCCCCAACTGCAGAAACCTCAAGCATCCTGAAACTCTTCAACCCCATTTAGGGTTTAGGGTTTAGGGTTTAGGGTTCAACCCCATAGGACGATAGTAAGCCCTAAACCCTTACCCTCAAAGGACTCATCTTTTAAGGCTTTGGGCCCAAAGACCCTATTATATAAGGCTTTTTTAAACATCCTGATGAAAACTCAGAATCACCTTATAAGGGGATCTTCCCAAAAAAGAGACCCTTGCAAACCCCATAACGGACTCGGCACTTCCCTCGTCCTTCCACAAAAATCTTCTGGACCTCTTGAAAAAACGTGTAAAATCCGATCAGACATCCCAGTTCTCAAGGGCTGAAGCCACTGGCCAAGCTGCGATAATTCGCTTCTTGCCCAACTTGATGGCCTGCAGCAGCTTTTTGGTGGATCTCAACATTGGAGTCGCCTCCTACTGGCTTTTCGGGGGTCCATGGAACTCCACACCCTACCCTTTCTTGACACAAGGTTTGCGTTTGTGCCATAAAACGTCGCACTGTGGCGCTTTGATGAGCTTTTTTTATTTTTTGCAATTTGGGACCCTCTTTCGCGTGGCGCCTAAACCTAAACTCTTACATCCTAAACCTAAACCCTAAACCACAAACCCCAAACCCCAAACCCTTAACCCCTAAACCACTAAACCGCTGAACCCTAAGCCACACTGGATGCCCAGTTGGGTTCAAGGCTTGAGCAGCACACCTTGATTCAGGCGCCTATACCGCTTCGAACAATAATCTCTCAGTATTGCTACTTGGAGGTTCATGGGACTTAGTAAGTAAGGTTATAAGTCCTTTAATTGGGGATATAAGTATAGTTACCTTAATTAGAACCCCAATTACTAAGTCCCATGATCCTCTAAGTATGCATAGGTTCTCAGACCCTAAGCTGTGGGAACCGTGGCGAATAATACTGCGTGCTCGGCTTTATGGACATATTTTGCGTACAGGTGAGGTTTCTTACGGCCCCTACGGCGTTAACCCCCCAGATACCTACTAAATCGGGGACGAGAGCCCCTAAGGCCCTATATAGTAGGCACATGGAGGGGGCGCATGTTCGTTGGCTCAATAACCATGGAGAAAACAGCAGGTTGCTGATCCAGGCCCATGAGCAGATGTCCCGCCTGATCCGCAGCCCCCAGAAGTTCCTGGTCAACCAATTCCTGCAAGGACATATTACGTAACTGATTGTCCGTGGCGTTGGGAACATTGTCATCCTCCTCATGCTGCACCAGCGATGTAGTCGACGTAGTAGAATGTGCAGCAAGATAATCACCCAGGAAAACACTGAAGTCACCCCGAGCGGCGTTGGGGACATAGTCATCCTCTTCATGCTGCACCAGCGATGTAGTCGACGTAGTGAGATGCCCAGCGAGTTGGTCACCCAGGAAACCATTCAAGTCACCCCAACAAGCCAGCGACTGGACGGTTGAGGAGGATGGCGTACTCAAAGTCTCTATAGGCACCAATGTCACCCCTTCAGAGTTCACAGCATGGGGGTCAGACGTCAAAGAAGCTGTCAAAGAAGCTGTCGCCTCCTCCGAGTTGCTCCCCACCGGTACCAACAGCGAGAGCAAGGTTCCCGTAGTTGGGTCAAGCATGGTGGACACGGAGGCACTCACCCCAGGGAGCATCCCAGAGAGGTCAGCATCTTGAATGTCCTAGCGACATCCCCCCACGGTCCATGGGGTTCCAGGCGGGCGCCTCTTGGAGGACCTGTGCCGCCATTCTGGCGGCAAGTTGCTGTTGTCTGGCGGCAAGTTGCTGTTGCTGTTGCTGCAGCTGTTGCTGTTGCAGTTGCAGTTGCTGTTGCAGTTGCTGTTGCTGTCACTGCAACGGGGTTTAGGGTTTAGGGTTTAAACTAAACTAGTTTTGGATTTATCAACAATTATAGACGTAGGCTAAGGGCTTAGGGGCTTGGGTTATATCAGCAAGTATAAACATCGCTATTACCTTATCAGCAGCCCTTGTAAGCCCAAAAGCCGACAGTAAACCCTAAACACTGATCGATCGAGCACAGTTAAAAGAGACTACAGGTGGGGAGTTTAGGGTATATAGGGCTTCTTTAAGGCTTCTATAAGGTGTATATATTCATATATATATATATATAGAGAGAGAGAGAGACCTTCTAGAAGGCTCCTATAACGGTAACTACCCACCTGAAAATTTCCTAGGATAATGGAACCCCGAATCGCCCTAAACCCTACCCTAGGGGTCCAAGTACCTAATAATCATATACTCTCCCAAAAATTAACCTAGATAGCTACTATCCGCAATCAAAGTACCTGATTATTGGGTCCTTTGGACCCTTAGGGCTAAACCCGAAGCCCCCGAAGCTTCCACTCTAAACTATTTTATAACGGCTGGGTTTAGGGTTTAGGGTTTAGGGTTTAGGGGCTGGGTTTAGGGTGTCAGGGGGTTAAGGTTAGGGTATGCTACATCGCCGTCGCATACCCTAAACCCGAAATCCCAGCACCCTAAACCCTAAATCCTGAACCCCTATAAACCCCAAACCCTAAACCCCTATAAACCCTATAAGCCCTAAACCCTGAACCCCTATAAAAACCCTAAACCCTAAACCCCTATAAACCCTATAAGCCCTAAACTCTAAAGCCTAAACCCAGAGGGTCCGAGTGCCCAAACAGTAAGGTTTTAGGTCCCAAAGTCCATTCTCTGAATGGGTTTTGGACCTTGAAACCCTACTATTTGGGTATTTGGACCCTTAGGGTAAAGTTCTCACCCCACGGTGTCTGCTCGGTGCTGAGTCCGCCACCAGCAACGCCTGAGATGCAACCAAAAAACTCTACGGAGGATGTCCGAGTCCGTTTGGGGGTGGGTTTGGGGTTTAGGGTTTAGGGGTGTAGGGGCTTTGGGGTTTGGGGTTTGGGGGTTTAGGGGTTGAGGGGTTTAGGGCTTAGTGGGTTTAGGGGTTTGGGGGTTTAGGGGTTTAGTGGGTTTAGGGGTTTAGGGTTTTAGGGTTTAGGGGTTTAGGTAGGGGTTTAGGGGTTTAGGGGTTTAGGGTTTAGGGCTTTTAGGGATTTAGGGGTTTAGGGTTTAGGGCTTAGGGTTTAGGGTATGTAGGGCTTCTATAAGGCTTCCATGAGTTATATAGACCTTCTATAAGGCTCCTATAACGGTAACTACCCACCTGAAAATGTCCTAGACTTAGGGCTTGGAGGGAAAGGGATAAAACTTGGGGTTTGAGATACGGTTTAGGGTTTAGGGCTTAGGGTTTAGGGTTTTGGGGTTTGGGGCTTCCCTAAGCCCTAAACCCCGAAAAAAACGCAAACTTCGGTTTTTACACGCTTATGGAGCTTTGTAACTAAGTTTAAAGCGGAGTTGGCGAGTTGCTACAACCCTAAACCCTAAACCGTCAAGTTGTGCGGGCTTACGGTGTGAAAGATTGAGGATTTTAGGGTTTTGGGGTAGAGGGCTCTCGCGTAAGGGCTTTAGGGTGTGAGGGGTTTAGGGTCTGCACCAACATCCAAACTTCTAAGACATGCAATCATTTCTTGAAGTACTCCTGAAGGACGACTAATCACTGAAGCCCCAAAGATTGTGCAAACACCCTCTCGGCCTTAAACACACGAGCGGCCTCACTTGTGGGCGTCGCATGAAACTCTTCGTCGAACCTTTGCCATTACTTGTGGCTTTCAGCTAATGATTTTATGACCCCCCAAAAGGCTAATGTTTCTTGACGACCCGTCGGTTTGTTCCAATCATCCAATAGAGACTGTTTCTGAATTTCGCAACTCCCAGATGACGTCTTCGGCCAAGAAACATAAGGCTAACCCCGAGCAATCCAACACCGAAGGCCGATAAAGCCCTTACGAATCGACGGTTTCAAGCCCAGGGTCGTGTACCATGTTCGCGGAACCCAAAAGCCCAAAAGCCATGTAAACTCCGTACAACCCTTATGGATCATCCCAACTTCTTGGGTTCAAGTTTTTTTTGCTTAGGCGCAGGTTTGCATGAAGGCGGCGACTGAGGTTTCAGGCTTTGCGCATAAAGTTGTTCAATGCTCAACAAGTTTTGAGAAGTTTCTCCTCTTTCGACTAATTATATCTATGGTGGGGTCTTTGCCATCGAGCCGGGAAAGGAATCAAGAGGTCCAAAATTGAGGATTCATGGCTAATCCAGGAGCCTCGTTTCACATACTATGAAAAAACATATGGCTCATGTGCTGAAGCCCTTCATCCTTGAATGACCGACTCTCTTTTCGGGACATGCACGGAGCAATCGCGAAGATAGATTGCCAAGAACTGTTTGCAGCCTTCTGCTGCCCCTTTAGAAGAGTCCTAACGGCTTCTTCAAGCTTCTTACAAACCTCGTAAAGGCCTCCTATGAAGGGCTTGTCACAGGCTTCTTAAGGTCTTATCAGGATTTCTTAAGGATGTGTGAAAGGCGGGCACCAAGTATCTGAGAGGGCGCTGCATGAAGGTCATCAATGTCCATTTCTTTCCAGCTGCTCGTGTGCAGAGCACCGCACACGTACGAAGGGTCCTTGAACCTGATCGAACCTAAAGCACATCGTTATTCGCAGCAGCAGTAGAACTGCACCTTGCCGAAGCGTGCTGCGTGATTCAACTTGCCACTTTTGCTTGATCGCCCCTTGAGCCCACGCGAAGTAACAAAGAATCGAACTGCCAAACATAATGACAAAATTGCAAATATCGGACCGGCAATAGCAGCGATTCAACTTCTGAGACGCAAAAAGCGAAAACATGCGCATGTTTCCGAAACTGTTGCGCGTTTTTTGTGCAAGTAAGCGTGTCGCACAGCGGGAGCTCGATTTTGGACTCAAAACCACGTCTGCAAAAAGTGTTGTTTTCAGAGCTTGATTTGTGAAAACCTTGGCAGACGTGGCATTTTCGCTGATTCGGCGTGTCCCTTTTTGGGGTTGTGTTTTGAGTGTGGTTGAAAGGCTAAAACCAGTGCGCACAGCAAGGTTTTCGTGATGTCAGTGCGCATAAACGCAGTTTTGCAGTTTACTCCAAAGTTTGTGTTTTTTCTGGCTTTAAACTCGGATGTGAAACAAACGAAAATTGTTCCCGACTCCTGGATTTGCATTGCAGTATTGATTCGAAGATATGTTCGAATCATTGCAAATACATCGGGGTATTCATACTGGTTGAGAAGGATCACCCTAAACCCTAAACCCTCAACCCTCGAGTTGTTCACATCTTCGTCAAGTTTGCATCGGATCAATTTCCTCAGGTTTCCTTATCACAGTTCGGTGCATCGGATCAACTTCGTCAGGTTTGAATGATTCATCCGAGTTGATTGGAAGTTATATTCGAACCACTTTGAGAACCTTGGAAATTCATAATGAGTGAGAAAAACAGATATCTCCATATCTGTGCGAAGTCTGCATCGGAGAAACTTCGTCAGAGGCATCGTGAAAACATTAGGGAGTTCATCTTGACTCAGGCGGATATGTCCGTATTTTTGCCAAATCTGCATCGGATAAACTGCATCAGATTTGCGTATCGCAGTTAAGTGCATCGGATGAACTTCGTCCGAATTCAATCATTCATCCGAGGTGATAGGATGGATATATTCGAATCATCTCGAAACCACTAGCATTAAAAACTATGTTTATATTCGAATCATTCCGAAATCATTAACATTAAAGACTGGCTTAGGCTTCGGGGCTGCGGGTGTAAGGAGCAGGGCTCGCCCTTTCCCCTCGTGCCGTCCGGTCCCACGGTTCTTGTTGGCCGTTTGGAAGGGTTTAGGGTTTAGGGTTTAGGCGCAAGGAGAAGGGGGTCTGCAGCAGGGACGTGGCGTGGGGTTCAGGGCTGAAGCAAGCCGCAGCAGGGGAGGCTTCAGGTTTACTGGACTCCTCTGTTCACGGCACTCCTCACAAGCTGGCCAAGTGGTGGCTAGTGGCTGAAAGCAGGTCGCCAGAGCTTTCCCACCGCCATTGTACACTACGCGCGTACTTCCAGGTAAGAGAATTCGGCACTCCTTTGCACTGAGTTCGCAAGGTGCTTGGAATACCTTTCTGCAAGGTATTCCAGAACGAATCTACGGAGCCCATGTGAATGTAGGTCGCTCTTCGTTTGGCCACTTTCTTTTGCAGGCAAAAGACTCCTCCGGAATGGTTGCACGGTCTCTTGAAGCATGCAATCTGCAGGTCCCAGCATGGGGCTTTGGGGCAGGCATACTTTAGTATATCATAGCCTAACGAAACAGGGAATGTATAAGGGAAACATGATATTGCTAATTGGTAGTATGAGTGGTAATTATTTCGGAGGCCTAACCCATAAATCCTAAACCCTATAAGGAATAATATTGAAAAACGACTTCTCCACTGGCTGTTGGGCACCTGCAGGGGCATCTCTTGCCAGGACAGCTCAGGCCCCTACCCCGCCCAAATGTCGCTGGCATTGAAGAGCGCGTTCGCGGTGCCTTAAGACGGCTTAGGGCCTTAAATAATCAGGTTTGGATGTATGAGGCTTCTCACTTCTTTGGGTTAAGGATTCGGGTGCAGGTGCTTAGAACCATAGGTTTAGAGAATAGAGGTATCAAAAGTTGGTAGAGGATCCCAGTTATGATGACTACATAGTAGTAGCAGTAGAAGGATTAGTATCAGTAGCAGTAGCAGTAGCAGTAGCAGCAGCAGCAGTAGAGCAGCAGCATCAGCATCAGCAGCAGTAGCAGTAGTAGTCGTACTAGTAGTAGTAGTAGTAGTAGTAGTAGTAGTAGTAGCAGTAGTAGTAGTAGTAGCAGTAGCAGTAGCAGCAGCAGCAGCAGTAGCAGTAGTGACAGCAGCAGTAGCAATAAAGCAGCAGT